CACAGTTTCGTATTATTTAATAGATAATAATACTTTTAGAAAACAAAAATACCATGATAAAAGAGAACTAGTATTAAAGCTCCGTACGTTTGAAAACACACAAGTTTGGCTACACAAAAGTGGTTTTAATTATTTACGAATTTACTTTCGGGCAGACATCGTGCTTTTTTCTCTATTTCCTAGTATAAAACCAATTTTACAACTATTTTTTAAATATGTTTTAATTCTCTATAAAGCATTTTCCTTTGTAGCATTAAACCAATGATTGCAATTGGTAATGGGTTTATAAAAATCCGTGTAGATAAGATCAGGTAGGTAAGATCATATATGTATGGTCTTATAAATTAAGGAACATGGTTTGTAGCCCTTTTCAAGCATTGTAAAAACATAAATTGACAGTAGATGTATAGGTACATATATTGTTGACTTATTACTATTATTACAACATATTATATATTTACTCTTATATTTTTGTGTAATTATATACAACATATTACATGATCGTTAAACGCCAAGACATGGTTGACATTGAATAAAATAAATTTAAAAAATACGTTGGATCATGATTAACACCGTAACTGTTAGTAGTTTTCATTCATACATAAATTAAAAAATTAAATTTGCATCAAGATGGTAGACATTTCTGCATTTTTTCTATACACAGAACATGCATCTAGAAGAAAGTTTCTGCACATTCTGGTGTAGGTAAAATATATTTAATGAACGAAACGACGGAGAAGATAGATAGATAGATAGGTACTCTTTATTGCATACCAAAATTAAGATAAATACGATAATACATACAAATAAATAGTGATAAATATAATAGGCGTTCTTTTCGTAGTCTGCGATCTCTTCCAGGCAACCTTTAGATGGACTATAATATATCGTAATATTTAGCGTGTGGTACGCTTTTACAATTTCCATATATTAACTAATATTTACATACATAATTACACATACATATGCACCAATACACGTTCATACACTTACACACATATATACATACATACACATACCTATATATCACATAGTTATAACAGAAATAAATAGTTATCATTAACGAGTTCTTTAAAAGTACCCACTGACTTTGCCTGCCTTATAGCTTCCGGTCACAAATTCCAGAGGCATGCTGCTTGCACCGTAAAAGGTGCAACGGTGTAAGTTGTGGAGTGTGTTAGAATTTCTAAGCTCAGATTTTCCAATGATCAGGTCCGAGTGGAGGTCGTCCTCCCGGGCCTTCTCCGCCGCCTCCTTCTGCGAGATTACCTCCTCGCAGAAGGTTGCGACCGCGGTAAAAACACTGTCGCTACCGGCCATGGAGCGAACTACGGCGGGTAGCGAGAGATCCGCTCCGATAACTGCAGTGAGGGCAAGCGCTGCGTTGCCCATGCGGGGCAGACCGCCAGCGTGTGCTGGGCCGAGTCCTCACTGCAGTCGCAGTGGTGGCAGGTGGGACTCAATTCCCTCCTAGTGACCGAGTACAGGTACTTTCCGAAGCAACCTCCCGTGGCGGCCAGGCGCGCCGCCTCCTAAGAGCCTTGTCTACCCTCGGTCAGCCTGTTCAGCACTGGGACACACTCATCATTTACATCATGACCAGTAGGTTAGATCAGGTGACGAATCGTGAGTGGGAAGAGCAACGAAACTCCTTACATGAACCGCCAACATTAGATGTCTTTATCAGGTTCGTCAGTAACAGAGCTGACCTACTAGAGACGCTTGAGGAATCTATGTCCTCAAAATTGAGGAATGACATAAGTTTGAGCACCAAACCTGAGATTTTTTCAGCTTCCACTGAAAATAATATAAAATCATTATCGTGCCCTATGTGTCAATAGGAACATTTTATTTTTCAGTGTGAAAAGTTTAAAAATTAGCCAGTTCAAGTCCGCATTAAAAAGTTCAAACTCTCAAACTTCAAATTTGTGTCTAAATTGCTTACGACCAGGTCACGATGTTCACAGATGCAAACTGGGTCATTGGAAATACTGCCGTGAAAAACATAATACGCTGTTACATGTTGAGAATGACCCTTCTTTTAAATCTAATCAGGCCATTGCGTTGTCTGCTAATCACAACAGTTCATCTCGTGTTGTTTTACTCTCCACAGCACTCGTGAAGGTGTCGGACGCCGACGGTAACCTTCACACTGCTCGAGTCCTGTTGGACAATGGGAGTACAGCAAACTTTATAACTGAGGACTTCATCCATAAGCTAGACCTTCCTATTTACTCTGTGTTGCCCAAGGTACAGGGCATTAACAATCAATCTTCTGAATGTTCACACGGATGTTTAATATCATTGAAGTCGCTTACTTGTGACTTTGAACTGAATATTGATTGTTATATCTTGCCTAAAGTATCGTCATCAGAGCCTAATACTTATGTCGACACTCACAGCATGTGTATACCTACAAATGTCATGCTTGCCGATCCCCACTTTTATACTTCGTCTTCTATCGATATTCTTGTCGGCGCGGAAGTGTTTTGGAGAGTCATATGGGGAGTACATGGGGGGTCAGGCACTGACCGTATGCCGTTGGGAAAAAATATGCCCACGTTATTCGATTCTCAGTTGGGTTGGATAGTCTCAGGCATCCTACATCAGTCTGGCCCCAGGTCTCATGTTTGCTTATTTACAAATGACTTGAAACTTAACTTGGAAAGATTCTGGGAGTTGGATTCCATAGGACCTCGACACAAGCTGACAAACGAAGAGCAATCGTGCGAACAGATTTTTGTGAATACCACTTATCGCAGGTCGGATGGAAGCTTTGTTGTCCACATTCCTCTTAAGGAGTCACCCAACGTTTTAGGTGATTCGTATGTTATGGCTAGGCGTCGTTTCTTGTCGTTGGAACGTCGATTAGCTCGAGACACATATCTCAAAAATTTGTAAGTTCGTTTCATGAATGAGTACATAAAATTACGGCATATATCCGAGAACAAGCATCAAAATTCCTCTTCTACACCTTCAAATTACTTGCCCCATCATGGTGTCTTGAAGGAGTCGAGTACGACAACCAAGCTTAGAGCGGTTTTTGATGCTTCTGCTCGTACAACTTCGGGTAAATCCTTTAATGAGATACAGATGGTTGGTGCTCCTATACAGGATGATTTATTGTCCATTTTACTCAGATTTCGCCAACATATGATTTTTGTAAGCGCAGACATCGAAAAAATGTACAGAGTAACTAGCGTAAATGATATTTATAGAGCTCTTCAAAAAATTCTATGGAGATCAGAGCCAACACAACCCTTAAAAACCTATACTTTAAACACAGTAACCTATGGCACTGCTTCTGCCCCTTTTTTAGCCACTAGGTGTTTAAAAAAACTTGCCCAGGAGTGTGATGATCTATCAATTTGTTCCACCATAGAGCATGACTTCTATGTGGACGATTACCTATCTGGTGGTTCAACTGTTGAAGAGATGTTGAGCAAATGCCGTAAGATCATCGCCGTTCTTGAGTCTGCAAAATATAACCACCGTAAATGGCAGTCTAACTCATCTGAATTATTACAAGCTCTTTCCAAACATCAAGTTGGTTCGAACTTTGTAAATCTTACTAATAATGACGTTACGTCTAAGACTCTCGAACTGAACTCGGAGTGCTCCAATGATACCTTTTCCTTTTCCATAAACCTAGCGTCAGGGGATACAATCAGCAAACCTCATATCTTATCAGTCATATCCCAAATTTTTGACCCGATTGGTTTGGTTGTTCCTTGCATTGTGGAGGCCAAGCTGCTAATGCAACATTTATGGCTTCTAGGATGTTCCTGGGATGAACCTGTTTCTGAAGGGAATCGAATATTTTGGAATGACTTCATCAACTCTCTGCTCTTTTTAAATAAACTCAAGATACCTCGTTGGGTCACGTGTGAATCAGCCTCTTCTCTTCAGCTACACATCTGCAGCGATGCGTCCGAAAGGGCATATGGCGCATGTAGTTATGTCCGCAGTAAAATTAAGAACAAGGAGGTGAATGTACAGTTACTTACCGCTATGAGTAAGATAGCCCCTATCAAGTCAACCACCATACCCCGACTCGAGCTTTGTGGTGCACTATCAGGCTCACGGCTATACACAAAGGTTTGACAGACACTTACACTTAGTATTCATGAAGTTCATTTTTGGTGTGACTCAACAATTGTGTTAGGTTGGTTGTCTACCGCACCAGTGCAACTGAAGACATTTGTCCGTCATAGAGTCTCCGAAATTTAGGAAACTATAGGGGAGATGCCTTGGCGCCATGTCCCTTCTCCTTTAAAGCCCGCAGACCTCGCTTTACGTGGACTCAGAGCAGACAAATTAATATCGTCTTCGTTGTGGTGGTCATGGCCCCAGTTCCATCGAAAACCGTCAACTGAGTGGCCTGAGTTCCCTAAATCAAATCACAAGGAACTACTCTTATCGGACATAGTCTCATCTCATCACATTGACACAACTAATAACATTGAAAATCTAATTAATAACTTTTTTTCTAAATACTCTTCTAATTTATATCTTTTACAACAACAATTAACAGTTACCAGCTAAAAATAAACTTCTTTCTCTGTCTCCATTCTTTGATATCCGGTCCAATCATGGTAGCTGATCGCAGGGGCAGAAGATGTCGGCTCGTTAAAAGCTTTATATGTGTGTTTGTGTGTTTGGCCACGAGAGCCGTTCATCTTGAACTCGTGTCTGACCTGACAAAATATGCCCTTTTGTCAGCTCTGTACCGCTTTATTACTCGCCGGGGGAAACCACGTAACGTCTTTTCAGATAACGGCACAACGTTTGACGGTGCTTTCAACGAGTTGGCCAAGCTTCTTTCACAGGATCTGAATTTTTGTCGTCGTTGTCGTGCCTTCAGTGATAACTGGAGCGAGCTTCACTTAATCAATTCGTGAGTTTACCTTAAACCGCTCTCCATTTGCCCCCTCTTATTGGGAGCTACCGAAGCGATGACAACGCTTTATGTCACCCATTGAGAAATCTTCAACTTCAAGCTAAGTCTGTATGATGTTTTGGGCTTTAAGTGCAAGGTCTTTTTTCTTTTCTTCCTCAACTCCATGGAGTAGAAGAATTTTCCTTCGCCCTTGCACCTCTAGTTGGTCCATGCTGCACACTAAAGCTAGGCCAGCAATGTTGGTTGGGGGGCTTGTGTTGTTATGGAGATCAGCTTCAAACTTGTTCATTGGTCTATGAAACATGTTGCTTAGGTTTTCTATGGTGCTTAGCAGTGAATCCATCTTCAGTTTTATAGTGAACACCCCAGGAAAGTTGAAAGGAATACCGTACATTAGCAGGTAGTGTCTTGTTGGTAAATATTAGGTCTTTACCTATGAAATTACCGTTTTGTATGCAATAAGTGAAAGTACTTATTTTTTCAAACTTTTTTAATTCTATTATTCGAAGTAATCACCCATGCAATCGACGCATCTTTGCCAACGCATTGGCAGTTTATTGATGCCCTTCTTGTAAAAATCAGCTGGACGGGAGGCAACACACTCTTCAAAGGCATTTTGTACTGCCTCTCGGGAATTGAATTTTTTACCCACTAAAAAGATGTCTAAATTTTGGAAAAAGTAATAGTCGGTAGGTGCAAGGTCTGGTGAGTATGGCGGATGAGCTTCCAACCCCGACTCTTGCAGCTTGGAGACTGTCTGTTGCGCAGTATGGGGTCGCGCTTTGTCGTGAAGGAGCAGTGGGGACGACCGATTGACCAAACATCTTATACAAATGCTTAGTACAAAAAGTAGAGAACACTTGTTTTATTTTATTATTGACATATATTTAAAAAAAAAGACGTGTGGCACTCGGGGACTGCCGCGGTAAAGCCATTGCATAGCATTTTGTATCAACTTATGCAATTATAATTATTTATTTATTTTATTTATGCAGTATTTCTTTTTCTTTGATATTAATTCAAGTTACACTTTTTGAGCGTGGTGACCGATAAGAAAACATTTTTTTTTCTTTTATTAAATAAAAATATTGAAGCATATATTACAATTTGTTTTTAAATATTATTAACAAATCAAATTACATATCCATGTAAGATTTTTCTGCATTATGTTGACGAAATTTCCTTTGACGTTCAGCATTTGATTTTGGTACTGTTTTTTGTTTTGTTTTTAGCGTGAGGTTTTTTTTCGTTACAGAATTTCTGGATTCGGTCCCAACGCTCAAGGCCCTCGATAGAAGCTATGCCTAAAAATAGGTTAACCATGCAGACATTCGTTATAATTTATTCGTGGTATGATTCGTATTACCAAATTTTTGACAAATTTCTTGCCAGATTGCAGATTTTCTTAAACTAAAAATAATAAATAATATTACAGTCGGAGCTACGAAAGTAAAACTGACAACGAAATTTTTAAAATCATAGTCCACAAAATCGTTATAAGCACCCCATTATTGAGATAATAAAATAAAAATCAATCTAATTAAATTTTATCACAGTATTAATATAATCTAGCCTCTAGTGTATTTCCACGACGAAATTAATATTGCCCGAAGCGTGGGTTACGAGTAACCGGTCTAATGAAATAAAGAAATGCTCGCTCATATTCGGTTCAGTTAAGGAGATAATTAAGATATATTATTTATCCGCTCTGATACATTCATTTCTGTATGTGATTGACTGGTAAAGAAATCTGCTTTAATTATTTCTATTTCTTTTTTGCAAAAGCGTTTTTTACAAATAAAATATAAAATACTAGGTGTACCCTGCCACGCTTCGCTGTAGCACATGTGGTTGTAGTGATGAGAAATAAAAAATAGAACTGACGCGTAAAACGGATTATAACAATGTTTGAAGCGGTGTAACAAGGTACGTATAACTTGACGTTCTATATCTACATGTATGTATGTATGTATAGCGTAGCCAATTTACTACACTTATATTAAAATAAGAATTAATTTTGGAATTGGAATTCCATCACTGATAGTCAGTTTGTCAATTATACTTATGCCAATGTGACTTGCGTATGGTGAATTATACGTCACATTTGTCCAAGAATCTATCGTCATTAATTATGACACATTTAATTCACTCTTGGACGGTATTGGCACGGTACTATGTACCGTGGTATTGGTATTAGTAAATATCAGAGTTTAGTGGCGAACTTTGGGGTAAGCCTATGTCCAACAGTGGACGTCTTTCGGCTGAGATGATGATGAGAGTTTCAAAGAAACGATATTAGGTATTAGAGATCGAATTACTAAACATTAATCTATACAAATAAATTAAATTGGAGTGTCTGTTTTTAATATTAAAATAACCGCTTCTTACTAAATGCATATGTATGTTTACACGGTACACATGCCAAAATAACATTTTTTTCAATTTTTGTCTGTCTGTTTGTTTGTTCCTTGTAATCTTTGGAACGGCTGGACCGATTTCGACGGGACTTTCACTGGCAGATAGCTGATGACATAAGGAGTAACTTAGGCTACTTTTTTAGACTAGCTTCGCCCCGCGGCATTGCCCGCGGTTATAACAACAAACGCGGGTAACATAGCGGGTCTCAGCTAGTTCAGTATAAAGGAGAAACAGAAAGCGCTGACCAAAACCGATAAATTGATGTAAAAATTAAAAAAAAAAAGAAATTGCCATTGTAAATGAAGTAATATTAGTTCGCCCATCCTGTGTTTAATGGAAATAGCTTTTAGAAAGCTTCAACAATTATTGGAAAGGGCCCGGAAAGATTAGATGGATTACAAATATGTGAACAAGCTGATATAATTCGTCCAAACTGAACGCTATGTTTCAATAACCCATATCACGGATTAAAGGGGTTTGCGTTACGCATAATCCTTTCTTATTCCTTCGTAAATGGATATTGAAAAAATTTGATGTTCGCCTTTTTATCGGAAACTCTTTTTCGGAAGTGCTCTATTCTGCCTCTTAGAATGACGTCGATTTAAGGTGAATGAACGAGCAAAATCCCTCTACATGGAAGAGGCGGTCCTGTAGAGGTGATGAGTTTATACAGTACCATTTAGTCGACGGCGCACCTTTGAACCAATAAATTGGCGTCAAGAATAAGCTTACTTACTTTTCAGCAATCTTTTATGTTCAAGTCGCTTTCGTGAACGTAAAGGGGTGTCGTTTTCTTTCAGCTATGGAACAAATCTTTGGTATAAGTGGATCCACATTCAATTTCCTACATTTTTCTTCAATATCGCTTTGATAACGATACTTCATTTAGCGTAATATCTCTCACAGATGTTCACGTGTGACGGAAATTTATTCACATAGTAATAAAATAAGAAAAGATACGTTTAAACAATATTTAATTTATTGATTACACAATATTGACTGAACGGTTTTAACTATTACACCTAGGTTTTTATTTTGCTTTCATGATAGTTGAAAAATTCGTATTAAAGACTAAATTTGAACAACCGTATGTTATTATAGTAGAGGAAAACTGACAACGGGTACTGTGTCTAGAGTTTCATTTAACGATCCCAGCTCGACAATAACCGTCCGTGGAATTTAATGGTTCGTAAAGTGGTTTCGATTAAAACAGCCGTCTGTATGGATAAGGTCAGTCGTTTTAGACTATAGAGGCAACTTTTAATGAGTTTACGAGCGCTCCTGCATGTAGGTAAAACACCCTATCTACTGTAACTTATTCCCAAACGTAACATTTCCTACAATTAGTTTGCTTTGACATGTTACTAGTAGATGTTACAAGCACGAGTACTGTGATAAAACTAGAGTATCTTACTAAATAAAAAGTTTGTAATTAAATAAGCACGCATATTTAAATATCTATATTGTATAGTTGCTATATACCTTTCAGTTATTCATTTTGTCAAAGATTTCTTTAATTAAATGTAAGATAGTACTTAACACGCATACATTGAAAGGAAAGTTTCTTAGAGCAGTCTCTCCGTCCTCAGTCTATATATTTAAGACGTCATGTACAAATGTTGCAGGAACAAGGTGCAGAAAGTTGGACAGCAAAAGGAACATAAATCAGGGTGTAGAGTGCGCCAGCTGGCAGCTTGTGAATAGTTCTGTCGGGTAGCGACCGCGTATGACATTCGATTACCTTTGTGCCAAGAGAACGTCTAACATACACGACACGGCTCGGCGATACATTGTAAAATTAAAGTCATAATATACGACCGCGGAAAGAGGTTATTTAAAAGGTATAATTTGTACTTTGATATAATTACGTTAACCTCACACGTTAAATTTTGTCTACTGCTCTAAGAAACTTTTGAAAACTCATAATGACTCATGCATACTTTTATAAATAAAGCTTATAACTTAATTTGTTTTAAATTTCTTTAGCTACATTATTACAATGATTTAATATTGTGTCTGTTGCTTTAGTTATTAAGTTGTTTTTAATATAATTAGTTTCGTAAAGTAGGGTTAATATTATTATAAAATAAAATAGGTAGTCAAATAAAGTTTTGTATTTTTTATTTAACTTATAAACAAGAAAATAAAAGATCGCAGTTTGAAGAAATAATTTACGTATTTAAAGATTGTCTAATAAATACCGGTCGAGGAGTTAATTTTATTATAATACTAATTTCTAAGTATGTCAGCTTAATGATTATATCAAACTTGTTTATTAGTATGTAATGGAGATAAATTTAATAAGAAGTTGTAGTACTGTTGGAAGTTGTAGTAACAAAAGTATCTCATTACTGGTTTTATTTTTAAAGAGTAGGTTTTATTTTGATCTTGTAAATATTTTATGGCTTTGACATTGTATTCTATGATTTATTTAATTAATTGAGGTATACGTAAGAGTAAAAGATTATATTTCTACGGGTACATATTATATTTCTAGTATAACATTGTAAGATATAGAGAATATTAAAATAAATAGCAATTTTTAACTTTTCGATGGTTTGTTACAGCGCATTTAAATTAAGACAGGGGAAAAGAGGTACAAAAATATCTTATAAAAGTATTATTATAAAAGTATTATATCATAAATTTTATTATTTTTCATTATCATCATTAGCCTTTAATAGTCCACTGCTTTTAGGCCTTTTCTTGGTATTTTTGAATAAGAAAAATTCTAAAAACACCAGCCAGTTTAGTATGGGTCTTTTAAAGATCTAACGAGTATACATAAAACTGAAAAACGACGTCTCTTCAGAGCTGAAGAGGTGATGCCAATAAAAGTGGAAATCGCCTCAGTCAGTTTGACTCCGTGGTAAGTACTGGCTTACTCTAGATTCTTCAGTTGCCACCTACTGAAGTTGTTCACAG